AAGCGATTCTCACTAAAAGCTCCTAGCGTGCATTAAACCTCGAAACAACCGTCTTCCAAATGAAACCCTCAAATGACGTCTAACTTGCCCGAAACCTCGAAACAAGCGTTTTCCGAGCAATTCTCTCCGGATAGCCTATATCACTATGGTGAGGTATGCCGTATAAAGTGAAGCCATTTGGCTCGCTATCACTGCTGAATCGTCTATAGTGCAGCAATTGCTTTTACTAGAATTTATCACACGGATTGATTTTTTGAATTATTTCTGAATGGTGTTTTGACTCCGATTGTAAACAAGACAAATTGATGCAGGCAAAAAAGGGTCAGACGTAGGAACCAACAACCTTTAAAGAAATATACTCGATACTTGAACGGCCCGTCCTCATTGGTTGTGCGGGCCCCAGCGTAATCTCCACTCCTTCGGAGATTTGCTGGTAAAGGTTGTGGCTTCCTGGAATCCCAAGGTCAGCCTGGCCAAAGTCTGCCCCAGGTCTTCATCATTACATGCAGTCGCATCCTTTGTGGATCTGAGGGAGATTTGCCACCATGTGACTAATTTCGTACCAGGACAGTGGTGGTTTCTCGAATTGCTTTACTTTTAGCTAAGCTTCCTAATGGAAATGCCGGAATCTTAACCCTTTTATTTACTGCCTTTTTCTTTCTAATGGTAGGGTATGTTGCGAAATATAACTCTTATATAATGCTGAGATATTTGCAAAACTCCGGACCGCAGGCGTATGCGGTGGGGAACGAACGCCCTATTGTCCTTACCGGGGAGTAGCGCACTTCACCACCCTGCCATTAGAAAGAAAAAGGCAGTAAATAAAAGGGTTAAGATTGTGATTATAACCAAGCCTCAGCTTAACTGGGTTCAATGCCGATTTGGGCTCTCCAGATCAATCCCGTTGACGGGTGATTGCTGATGGCAAAAGATCGATAGAACGAGCTGAGAGACAGGCAAAACGAAGGACCCGGATGGTGTGGTGGTGAAGTGCGCTACACCCCGGTAAGGACAATAGGGCGTTCGTTCCCCACCGCATACGCCTGCGGTCCGGAGTTTTGCAAATATCTCAGCATTATATATGGGAAATGCCAGACTTTCAGCCTGGGGGACCTTGCCAGGTGGAATCTCGCCGCTGTAAATCGCAGCCCGACACCCAAAAATACCTCCCAGCCACGGTGAGACGCTAAGCCGTTGGGAGGTTAAAGAAATACACAGGCTGGAAATATTCTACCAAAAATGGAATTATTCAGGGTTACAGATTTGGATTTCAGATGGCTTACTTTCATTTGGCCGACAATGCAATATGTGGTGGACCATACTGTCTATTCAAAACCACTCACCTGACTCAACTTCAAGGGAAATTGAAAAGGAATATATAGGCAGAGTATAATGATGAGTCTCTCGTTTCGCTTAGACAGATAGTCGTATTCAGACACCTCATATAAGAAGAACAAGCATTACATCAAGTTACTTAAATCGTGCATACGAAGGGACCAGACATATAACATTAATTGCATGCAGGTAACACCTAGCATCTAACATCCACAGTTTTCTTCGAATATTTCGTGTGTTGTTTCAGCTGCTGCTTGAGGATTTCGTCTTCTAGATGAAAGTCGTAGAATGCTGGCCGGGTCAATCCTCCTTGCAATTTTGGAAATGGTCTGACCAAGTTGTCCTCACATGGACTGGGTGAGAGTGTTCGGACGGAGATCGAACTAGATCCACGGTGTCACTAACCACTGCGCTCTACCTCCTTCCCGCAGGGGACTTGTGGGAAAAGGAAAGGCTTTTAGCATCGCAACATTCACTCCACCGACTTCTTTGTAGTTCTGTAATTGTTGTCTTCAAGTACGAATAAGAAATCTTAACGCCCTGTTCATAAGCAGCATTCTCCTCAACGAAAATGTCTTTGTACCCTCTTCACCAGCAACAGTCTCACCACACGACCCAGACGAACCAACCCGTCCAAAAGGTTTGTAAATTATAAAGCAAAGAACATAGTTTTCCTAATACTACTCCTAGCACAACATCTGTGGAATATAACACTTGAGCAAAACAGGGACAGTTGTAGAACACCGCATCTCCTCAAAAAACCCTTGGCCTGATAACTTTATGAAGAAAAAAAGATGAAAACAAAACAAAACGAACTCTTCATCTTACACACGGATAGATTGGACTTCTCCACTTAGATGATGCTCCCTAGAGTATCGAAAAAGACGCAATTACGGACAAGCGCGGGAGTCATATATTTGAATTGTTCGAGGATTTCTCAACATATCACTGCTGTTGAAACATCCATCTTTTTTCGTGTGGTAGTTTATTTGGTTAGTAATATGCATTCACAAGTAATTATGCGATAGAGGTTTTTTTTTTCACAATGCTAACTCTTTATTTACAGCCTACTATTATTTCTCACGGCAATTTGTTGTGTGAAGTACAACCACAATGATGCTGAGATACTTGTAAAACTTGGACCTCAGGCCAAATCTAGCCCTCTAATTCTCCAGATAAAGGCTAAGTAAAGGCCTTAGTGGTACGGTGAGTAACACGTGAGCCACCTGGAAAGGGGAATCGTGGGTTCGATCTGGCCGAGAGTCCAAGTTATGCAAATAATGATGTTATTTTCCGGAAGACGATCCAATATGTCGGCTCTCCCCGCCTATGAGTACACATCCCTTGGAAGCCTTCCAGAGAGCGGTCGAGTGAACGTGTATGGTGTTGTTCGTAATGTGACTGCTCTTGACAACGGTGGATTCGTCGTTAAGGTTGAGGTTAGTCCGTTAGTAGCGGTTTTCCTTTTCTAACATCTCGTGTTGATTTAATATCAAGCTTCAATGATGCTGAGATATTTGCAAAACTCCGGACCACAGGTGTATGCGGTGGGGAACGAACGCGCTATTGTCCTTTCCGGGGAATAACGTGCTCACCACCACACCATGCGGGTCCTTCGTTTCGCCTATCTCTCAGCTAGTTCTATCGATCACTGCCATCAGCATTCATCCAGCTTGGGCTCCCCAGATCAATCCCGTTGACTGGTGATTTCTGATGGCAAAAGATCGATAGAACTAGCTGAGAGACAGGCGAAACGAAGGATCCGCATGGTGTGGTGGTGAACGCGTTAACCCTGGAAAGGACAATAGCGCTTTCGTTCCCCACCGCATATACACCTGCGGTCCGGAGTTTTGCAAATATCTCAGCATCATTGAAGTTATATTTCCCAATATACCCTGCCATTAAAAAAAGAGTAAATAATAAGTTAAAATTGTAATATCAAGCTCTTAGTTTTCGTTAAGGATGAGGTGGCCTCAGCGATTATAAGGTTCGTAAAGAAGTCGAATACATTTGCTGAGGGTTTGCGTGTGAACGACATATTGCGAGTTCATCGCGCAGAGGTATCATTTGTAATGTTCCCGTTGTCAGTTGTGAGTTATGTCGTGGGAGAAAAATTCTTTACCTATTCCCTGTGTTCTTGTTGAGCACCTATTATTCTTTACCTATTATTATTATTATTATCATTGTCATTATTATTACTGTTATTATTACCATTGTTATTATTATTACTATTATTATTATTATTACATAAGCCGAAATAACTTACTTAGATGCTTGGATGGCCCGGCCTCACTGGTTGTGGCGCCCCAGAAAAATTTCCATTTTTTCAGTGTTTTTCTGATTTAGTTATTGCGGTTCCCTGGAGTCCCGAGATCAGCCTAGCTACCAGCCTAGCCAAAGTCTGCTCCAGGTCGTAACCACCGCAGGCAATCGCCACCATTGTGGATCAGAGGGACATTTGCCACCATGCGACTAGTTTAATACCAGGACGCTGGTGGTTCCTGGTATTCGTTTACTCTTAGCTGGGTTTTCTGATGGAAACGCCGGATTCGTTCACATCTTGGGAGACCTTGCTAGGGGATGAATCCACCGCTGTCAGTCCGACACTCAGGAACACCTCCCAGCCGCGATAAGGCGGTAAACCGTTGGGAGGAAGCCGTCATAGCACGTATCACAATTGCGGATCCAAGCATTTCTTGCGTACTATTGGTTTCATCGCTATATGATCCACGAAGATTCTCAAACTTTCGTTTGCGTGTGGGTTAAGCTGCTGCTTAAGGTTTGTCATCTTCTTTGTCAATGAAGTAGAATGCTGGTAGAGTCGATCCTCCTTGCAATCTTAGTGATAGCCGGTCCAGAATGCTTCAACGTCGACCGGAGCAGAGCATTTGGTAGGATGTTGAACCAGTGCCTTGCTCCTCCATGAGAGGCAGCATCACTGATCACTCCTTTTGCTAAACAAGCCAGTTAATATTTTTGTACCTTTCATTATGAAGGTCGTTTAGTGCTGGTCGAGTTAATTTTCCTTGAAATCTCTAGAAACCCGTTCTAGGGCGTTTCTACGTGGATTAGAGAAAGTAAGTGTGTCTTAGACAAATCGTACCAGTTTCTCGAGCCTAGTGGGATAACAGGTTTGTTGAGCCTTAAGCAAGGTCAAGCCAGGAGACCAAGTGAAGAGTGAGGTGCTTTCAAAGAATAGGTGCTTGATATTCAAAGGAAGTCTCCTTTAGTTACGATTATCAATGAGGCTTTCTTACCAAAAGGAACAGATGTACATTTCTTCATGTTTCTGCTCCAATTTTCTTCTAAGTAGCATCGACAGAATTATTACTATCATGTTTATAGCTGTATTCTAGTGGAATTAAAGTTTTCTAGGTTGGCTTTTATCGAAATGAACGAGCTCTTGTTGTGGAAGTGGGTAGTTTTGGATGTCATGCTGTGTCGTGGAGAGGAGATTTCGACGCTCCTCTGCAGTTAACCTCGAGCACGTGTACTGTGTCCAAGCAGGACAGCGTCAGAGTAAGATTACTGGCATCTTACGCTTGTTTTAACCCTTGATTTTCTGGCATTGAATTTTTTCCTATATGAAATGAGGTTTCAGTTTCATACTTTGCGTAGATGGTTGAGAACCAAAACGACTTCTGTTCATCCGTCATCAGACCATCTGCTAGAACCTTTGTCGAACAGTGTCGCTGCGGAGGCTTCCAATCAACGAGTATTTCCCAGTTCGTTGGTGAAATCAACGAATGAGTGATTATTTTTCAACTCTGTTTAACGTACTGTCAGCTTTTCTATATGTCCTAATAGTATGCAGTTGTTTCTTCTCTTCTGTCCCTACTTATTTGTACATGTATGGTATTCACAGAACAGTCCCTCAGACGACACGATTATGTCCAACGATCTCAAGTGCCATGGAGATACCAACTCTGGGGGCCAAGTTTTTTAATTGGTATGCGCAGGTTTGTCAACCAGATGTATCAAATATTCCTCTAATCATTTTCTCTCTCTCACTTTTTAGTTTTTCCAGGTCTTAGGTGTATATCGAGCCAAAGGTGATGCGTTTACAGTGTTTCTAAGAGTCTGGGATGGAACGAAACCGAGGTGAGCTACAACGTCCTTGAAAGCCTTCTTTGCCCAAATCTAATTTATTCTTACTGCAAAACCAATGTCCTCCGTATTTGATGAGGATGTTAATGAAGATAGGACATCTGGATTGAACATAATTAAAAAGTGAAGTGAATTGCCTGTTCTGTCATCATTATTCCATCCGTCTTTGTTGTATACCGGTTTTTGGGTGGGTTCTGCTTGATCAAAAAACACGAATTGCTTCAGATTTTTCGTGAAGAGGCTTCATTACAGTGGTAAATTTTTGCTGCTTACCCGTCATGCATGCGCATGAATTTTCCAGCACAGTTTGTTTCAATATCTCTGACCTTTGATTGTCGACGTACCTATATTCTCCATCGTCACAGCACATCCGAATGACTTCATATCTATGAAAGCGCGCTTAGGGCAGTGGTCGGAAACGCCCTGCAATACGCACGGGATCGATCCCCGCCCAAGGACCTCCAATCTTTTCATCCCTCCGGGGTCGGCAAAATGGTACCAGACTTCTCTGGAAGAGTAGCAGCACTGGGTCGATACATCGGTAGGCCACCACGAGTCATTGTAAAGGCCAGATATGAATTCAGTTACCTCCAACGATGCTTGATGAAGTCGAATGCATGACGCATCTCTTAGGAAATGATCAGCGCCGAAGGCTTTATCCTATTTTATTCATATCTATGAACGTGAGAAATAGCCGTATCTCTTACTTTCAAGGTACTTTACTGACTGCAAGAGTTGAGTCTTGAATGAATAATTAACTTTCCTTTTTAGAATGGAATATGTGAAAAATGCTGATTCACAACGTAGAAATGTTGAAAAAATGGCTCGTAACATTGAATGCGTTTCATTTGTTAAACAAAAGATAAAGCTCGTGGGGTTGATCAATCCCTGAGGGATGAGCCCTGCATTCGACTTCACTAAACATCACTGGAGGTGATTGAATGCATATCTGGCCCTTACAATGACTTGCGGTGGCCTACCGATGTATCGAGCCAGTGCTGCTATCCTTCTAGACAAGTTTGCTACCAATTTCCCGATCCCGGTGATGGAAGGCTTGGTGAGCCATGGGTACAGGAGTCGATCGCACGTTTGTTGCAGGGTTCCTTCGACCACTGCGCTATACGCTTCCACTATTTTCATTTTTTGGAGTATAATAATTTTAACGTCTCTTCCTTAGTGGAACAAAACTTATTTCAGGTTCGCTGCCTACCGGAATATGTTTCATGCTGGCAGTGATAGTATCGAGACAGCTTACTGCGAAATTCAACAGTTTTTGTTGCATGTAATCGAAGACTATGTTATTGACGTGTGCTGTTATGGTGATTGGGCTCGAAAGGCCATGGGACTTAAGGCAAATTCTGTGTCTTCTACTGTGTTTGTTTTTAAATTACGCTATTCCTTTTTTTTAATGTTATTCTTTAAGGTCGGGGACATTGTATTTCTGGGAAACATACGTAATTACGTATGTCATTCGAATAAATTATCAGCAGTGACACTACACGACGGTGGTGCGCGCTTCAATCGAGCTTTGAATGTTGTCAATGAAAGTGATTCGAACTACTTCAAAGTTTCCAAGTATGGTTTAATTTGATATTGTCTTGGATATAACTGGGTTGAGTGCCGAATTGTGTGCCAGATCAATCCCGCTGACGGGCGATTGCAGGTGGCACCGTTAGGTTGAAAACTAGTTGAGAGAAAGGCCAAGCCAGGCCCTCCGTGCTGCAGTCGATAACACGCGAGCCACCTGAAAGGGTAATCGTGGTTCGATCTGGCCTGAGGTCCATGTTTTGCAAATATCTCAGCATCATTGTGGTTGTATAGCAATCTTTTTTTGGTTGGGTTTTGATCAAGACATTGAAGAACAAACTGTATGGTATTCTGTCCATCTGCTTAATCTTTTTTGTGGAGTCTTTTATATCCCTTCTCTGTTCAGACGGTGTGCTGATACCTTATCATTGTATTGCGGAGCTAATAGCACTTTATTTGCGACACCAATCGGTATGAGGTTTTGTTTCAGAAAACTCTTAGAACATGCTACTGAAACGCTAACGTCCTCGTTTTAGGTGACGAACTAACGCCTTTGTTTTCGGAGGAACCCCAAGCTCGATCTACACCAAAAGTGCGCATAAGTCAATGTCATGGCTTTTTTACCGTCAAACATGATTGTCATGCTTATTCGAACTATTGAATGCGGAAGAATGAATACTTTTCAGGCTAGTCCCAATCCAGTTAACGTAGTAAAGGGAAAGGAAATTGCTCTTGTTGACGTGAGTTTGCAGTTATTGCAGGGTTTTTATATGAATGCTTCCTTAGGTGCTTGAATGGTCCGAATTCGCTGGTTGTGCGGCGCTCAGAATAACTTCCATCCGTTTCTCTTTAGGGCAGTCGTTGTTCATGGTAGTAGTCTGCTTCGAACATGATGACGTTCGCCAGTCCTTTCTTGAATTCCTAAAGGCGTTTCCATCTGTGAATGCAGTTGGTTGACATTAGCCCACAAATACGTCTGCTCGTCGTTGTTTTGTTCGTCTTGCATGAGTACGCTTACATTTTCTTGGAGTACACTCCATTATTCTTTCCACCCATTTGTCGTCTATTGTTCTTACTTTGTGACCGACTAGTCTGTTTTACTGTCGATGTGTATTCTTCTGGACCCCGAAGATGGAATAGGTTTCGAAAATATGAGCTACACATTCCGGCTGTATGGTGTGAGTGCCGGTTAAGTTTCAGAAGATATCGTTCAAGCGCTCTGTGAGTAGTGCGGAGTATTCTTGATGTGGTTGAAGTATAAGCCCACGTCTCACCAGCACAACAGAGCCCTGGAAGCACCGTTGAGCTGAAAAGGTGAGCGCAAAGTTTTAAGTCCGTTAGTTGGTCGGTCGCTTTTTCGACAGGCGCGAATGCTACCAGTGCTGCTTTCCGTCTTCTGTCTAGTTCCTCACTCATGTTGTTCTCCATGTTCATTGAAGCATCTGGTTGTTCGTCTGTTCACCATTTTTTTGTTTTCGAAATATTTTGTTCATTTTGTCGCCGTGGATACTTCGTGAACTGGATCGCTGTCCTATTTATGCTCAGTATTATCGTTTTTCCTGCTAGTCAGGGAAACGAAACTTTGATAAAAATTTTCCATCAGTACACATACTCTTATAGTCCCATTCGATTGACTTCATTGTCCATTATAGTGTGACAGTAAAAAAAAGACTGGCGATATTGTATCGCCTTATCGAACTCATCTTCCAATGGATACGGTGAGGGGTTGATAGAAAAGCGGCGTATTGGTACGGTAGTTTCGATAAGTCTGCTGATGTTCGTATATAGGACGGGTCTATCTTTGGACGACGAGAGCTGGTAGGATTGTATTCGTTTCTACCCTGGCTGTCGAACGCTTTTTCCCAGTCAGTAAAGGTTAGTTCAAGCGCAGATGGAACTTCTGACAGGTTATTATCACCTGTGACACGTTTTGGATGTGGTCCATGTCGGGATCCTGCTTGATGGACTTGTTGTTTCTCATTCAAGATCTTCGATATGCGCAAAGCGATAATATCGTGTGTAGCTTGTAGAGTATAATCAACAAGCATGCTGTACATTGTTACAAAGATCCGTTCGGTCATCCTTCCTGGGTATGATGACCGTTGCGCGAGCTTCTCCACTGGCCTGGGATGCTCACACTCTGAATGTAAAGATTGTGAGAAGTACGTGTAAGTTGTGGCCTCCAGGTCTGAGGAAATCGGCAGTGATACTCTCGCCTGCTGAAGCTCTACCTCTCTTCATTCTTTTTACCACAAGCATCAGAGGGTAAAATCTTGGGGGTACTCTCATTTTCATTCATCAGGGCGGGTAGCGAAAAATTATAGGCGCTGAGATCCCAACGGCACATTTTCAGACTTGGTCGTTTTTAAACTGCTTCCAACAACTTTTTCTACCTATATCGGCGCAAATCCTCCTGCGGAGATCTCCTATAGCTGAAATTTATTACTACCTGTGCTAAATGTTTCATGTTGTTGTAGGATCAGCTCCAGTGCTCTTCTCTTTTCAAGCAATTCCTTAGTGGTAATAGAGAAGCCTTCTGACTTCTTTGTTTGAGGAACTGGATGGGATTTCGCACAAGTTTTAAGCTTTTTTTTGCCTTCGACAAGCAGCTTCCTTGCTCGGTCTTCACTTATCTTTTAGTCATTGAAGAGAGAATTTTATTGAGGATATCCTCGTTATATACCGTGGCAAGGATCTTTTCCATCTCAATCTTATGGCTGAATGGAATCTTCGCAAGGGGAAGGCAGTGATTGGATCCACTACAGCAGTGCAGTACCTAGGTACCAGTGAGGTGTAAACGAGACACCATTTCCTCTTCATGGGAATATATTTGGGCTCCGCATGAATATGCCGTTAGGAGACTACGTGTCCATCAGCGATTTCATGTTTTCTCGAAAAATGATTACTCTATAGAAGAGAAGAGCTGTGGTCGACAGTCCTACGAGACAGTTCCCATTCTCATCTCGTCCTCCTATTAAGAATTTTCCTATTCTGTATTCATTTTCTTTGGCCGTTTCTAATCTTGCATTAAACTCTCCAACATAGATTTTATAGAAATGCTTCAAGTTGTCAGTTATTTACTGAAGCTGGTTGTAGAACGCGTCAAGTTTACTTTGATTAGTTGTACAAGTTGGTGAGTACCAACTGACGATACTGACTTTCTTTTTACGCCGATGTTGTAGAAAAATGGTTAAGCGCAGTGAAAAAATTTCTTATGAGTGACTGGATGTGAAATAGATGAGTGTACCATAAAGCCAACACCTACGACATTTTGTAACGGAAATTTCCGTCCACGAATGCTAAGGGTTCCATCATTTAAGACTTACATCGGTCTTCGTCGTATTCTTGTAGGGCGATCATATGAAATTCGATGCGATCGACGGCCTCAAAAAGAGCGTAGATGTTCCGTCTTAAGAGACTGTTCTGGCATTACAGGTACACAGCAAGAAACACTCCATTGCGTTTCGTAGGCGTACTAATTTTGTTTCCAATCATGTCCTATACACCTCCGATTTGATCGCCTCTCACCGTTTGTTTTACCGTCCGAAATTCTAGGTAGGAGCACCTAGTGTACGCGGTACCGAGACTAAAGCTTTGCTTGCTTGAGGTTAGCCTAGTTAAACATTCCTCAGGTCGTGATTATTCCAGGCAGTCGGCGGCCCTTGTGGATCAGGAGGGAATTTGCCACCAAGCGGCTAGTTTGATACCAGGACGGTGGTGATTCCTATTAGTGATTTACTCCTACGTGAGCATACGGATGGAAGTGTTTCTTGTAAATTACTGCGTCAAACACAAAGATTGCTTTACCTTTCAAGTAATATGTTTTTAAGCAGTAGTTTTATGTGCTATGTCCCCATGTAATGAACAACGAACGACCAAATTTTTGCCATCACGTCAACGGATTTTTCCATGAAAGAGTTTTCAGGTGGAATTGATGTGGGCTTTATTCCTTTACAAATACTCAGATCGTATTAAATGATTCATTGAAAGAATTCTATCGTGATTACCACTATATAAGATTCCAACTACACGAGTTTTTTTAAACTGATGAGGTCTCTCGGAGTCGCAAGCTTTGTTCAGAGAGAGCTAAGTGATAATATAGATGAAATAAAAATAGATGACTGGATCTTATAGTACATTTCTATCATTCTGCTTTTTACAATAGTGGATTATTTGGTCATCAACTCTTTCGTTGTTTTTGTTACAAATTTTAAAAAAAGCATGGACTAGTATACCTGAAAGCAATGAGGCGCACTATTCTGTATGACCGTTTTATATTTATTTAGGGCTGTAACGCTGCTGCTAACATTTCATTTTCGCGTAATACTTCTGTAATAAATTCCGAATTACGTGGGAAATCTGCTACCCCAGTTGCTACTGAATCTTCTCCGAGGAAAAGGCGCCGGAGGTCTATCGTTGAAGGAGAACGAGTTACTGCAGAGGAGGTAACTGTGGACTATGTGTACTGCATACTACATACTGTGACAATCAAAATAGTTCCTATTTCAGGTAGCGGTTACTGGAGGTGATTTGTGTTTTTCTTAATTTTGGGCGCAATATTTTGCTTCGCACCACTTGCAACTTTCGTTAGAAAAAAGGCTGATACATAACGAACTTTTTCAATTCCAATAGGAATTGTTTTCCGTCCTTCTCTATTCCGCTTTTTATTCTCAGAATTTTCTGAATGGCTGGACGCCCGCCAAGGTCCTTCAAGAGCAGAGGCAAACACTACTCAACCAGTATGCTTTCTTAGCTATGTTACTGCAATATTCAATTGTCGGACGCTGTAATCAATGTGATTGATGTTTTTTTTAGCAAATGCTTCCGAGAAATAGTAGCAGTTCCAGTGATTTGGCCGGGATTAGTTCGCCTTGCATCGCTCAGACTGAAGATCAAATTCGTAATCAAGTTCTAAATAGCGAGGAAGATAGTATTGTTGATGGTGAAACTGTCATTGTTGATCAACATCTTGAAGAAATTTGCGGTAACAGTGTGTTTTCCCTCGAAATACTGAGATTCTTGGACGATCTAGTACGACGCAATCTTCCCAAGTCGGATGAAGTGTTAAGGATTGCTGCGTTCCATAATAAGGTAATACAGGAAAAGAAGGATGTGAATGCTATTTAAGTGCACTTGTTCAGATAAAGCAAAAACTTCTGGAAACTCTTTTTGAGAAAAAGTTGGCTGAACTAGATGGAACGGAAACAGGTGGGATCGAACTAGTAGAAGAGATGGAGGAAATTCTCAAGATGAACGTTGGAGACCACGTTGATTTTGTGAAGTGAGGGTTCTATAATTCTGAAGTTTGTGAAGTGGATTCTGTAAGGAATTGTATCAAATGTCTGAATTGCTTCTTGCAAGTCATTCCGCAGTTTTTTTTTCTCTCTGCAGAACGCCACTTCATCTGATGAGAATACTAAAAGGCTCCTTCTGTCGTAATCAACGCTTTAATTCAGTTTCGTTGAAGCGGAATTATCTGTTTTGAAGCAGCCAGATTATCTCAGAAATGCACTGTTATTCACGGGAAAATGTGTAAGTTGTGGTGAAGAAGTAATTGTGGAGCGACGTTCAAAACATTGGTGCCGAAAATGTTTTACGGGTTAGTTTCCTTTAGTGTTTGTCTTAAAGAAAATACTTTGTTCGTATTTTTGTTGAGCAAACGCGAGGTGTTATTATTCCTTGTTCACGGTTAAGCTGACGTTTCGGCGGATTTCGCCTTCCTCAGAGCCTGGAAAGGTCAAGTTGATAGCAACTCACTCGGCCAGACGCCTCCATAACCAAACAAAGAAACTCCAAACCAAGATTTCAATCACTTTGAACACAGCTTTGCACACTCACCGCTTTCTATGAGGTCTCCACTAAGTATGTCACGTAGAGACCAACCGCACAGAAATCACGTGGAAGTATAATGTGCCCCTCACATCAGAAAAGCAGTTTTATATACTGCCCTATATCACGCGTGATAATGAGGCATTCTTCCCTGCGGTTCATTTTCGGATTTCTGGAATTAATCCAGAGTGCCTCGAGAGTTTTTCGCGCCTGTGTTCTTGATTCGCGTACGAGGATCGTGACACATACTTCGAAGTCGTTCCCGTTATGTCTCTGGATCCTATGCGTGCCTAGCGGGGTATTTGGTCTATTTTTGCCGGCTAGGTGTTCTTTCATGCGGACACAGAGGGGTTACCCGTTTCGCCAATGTCTTCGTCACCACACGTCTTACAGGAGATCACATAAACTATACCCGAGCTCATGCAATCACCATCTCCACCACTGGGGCAAATTATGCAATTTTGAGTTGCACATAGACGATCATATAGGCGGTTACGAACTAGCTGGCGCTTAAGATTACTCGGTGGTATTTCAACTACGCTCACCGAATTCTCTAAGCCCGCCCTTCTTAACCAGCGTTTTATAGCTGTACTTATATCATTTGAGATGAAGGGTAGGATAAACGGGACCCTTCTATGGCTAGAGTTGTCGTTTGGAGGCCTACGATTTCCTCTACACCTATCCTGAGCTACAGTTTCGTAGCCATTAGAAATGGCTATTTGCCGTGCCAAGTTCCGGGACTCCTCTCTCTGCTCTCTTCCCGTGCACACGTTGGTTGCTGTTCGAAACATGTTTCTTATGAGCGCCCTTTTCGTGTGAGAGGGGTGAGAGAAGAGGTAATGAACCAAGGTGATTTTACTACTTGGCTTTCGGTACCACTTTGTAATGTAGCCATTTTCTGATAGGTGAATTTGTACGTTCAAAAATGGAGGCCATTTTTCTTTCGGTTTTTCTCGGGTGAACTAGATATACTCTGACTGTGCGTTTAATAATTCGAAGCATTTGTCCATTTCCTCTTGTATTGAGCAAAGGACAAAGCAGTCGTCTACATACCTACAGTAGAGTAGCGGCCCGAGATCAGTCACCGGTGCTTCCACCTTAGACATAAATGCAATGGCAAGGCTTGGAGCCAGTCGTTGTCCCATTGCCAAACCTCTTATTTNCATTTTTCTTTCGGCTTTTCTCGGGTGAACTTGATATACTCTGACTGTGCGTTTAACAATTCGAAGCATTTGTCCATTTCCTCTTGTATTGAGCAAAGGACAAAGCAGTCGTCTACATACCTACAGTAGAGTAGCGGCCCGAGATCAGTCACCGGTGCTTCCACCTTAGACATAAATGCAATGGCAAGGCTTGGAGCCAGTCGTTGTCCCATTGCCAAACCTCTTATTTGGGCGTAGTACTTTCCAGACCATCTGAAGATTGAGCAGCCCAAGCATTCTTTTAAGAGTGCCACCAGGTGCTCTATCCTGAAGCCATACGTGTTTATTTCTCCTTCGTGTTGTGTAAGGAGTTCGAATATGGCT